TATATACACATACATATATATATATATACACATACATACATATATATATATATATATATATATAGTGCCTAAAATACATAGTTTAGGTAAATATATATATGTATGTGTGCCTATATATATTTGGTGAAAAAAAAATGCCAGATTTGCTATTCCTTTCCTCAGTGACTAGGGAAGCTGGGTATAATTTCCTGTTGATGAGCCATTTGAATTCCTTCTTCTCTAAACTGTTAGGATGCATTCTGTTTTTCTTATGGGTTATCTATCTTTCATTAACTTTGAAAGATATAGACACACATACATATAGGTATATACTGGAGGTACCAAAAAAATGTATATACATTTTAAGAGATTTTATCTATGTATTACTTTTTGAAGTTGAATTGAATTACGGTAGCAATGGGTCGTATGACTTTCATTCAAAAAAAGGTGTTAATCAAAAAAATGCTAGCATCACCATGTGACAGGCAGGGTCAAAGAAAATGGTGGAAGCTTGGTTGTCATTCAAGGAGCGCAAGACCATTTTGAGATGTTATTTAAAATTCAAGAACATTGTGGAAGTACAACTATGGAGGCATGAGTATGCAACAGAACCTCCAACACATCAAACAACTGCACGCATTCATGATAAGTTTGAGACACATGGTACTGTGTATGATGTGCACAAGGGAAGATCTGGAAAGGTCTCGCACAGCAACAAGTCCTGCAGGAGTAGTTCACCATAATCAGAAGTATCTGGATGTCAATGGTAACCTCTTTGAGCACCTCTTTTAACTGCAGAAGTCTAATTATTTGTATTCATCTTTTGTTATTGGCATACATTGAGTATTTCAATTTGATTACAGTTTTTTCCTTTCTTAAAATGTACATATATTTTTTGGCACCCTCTGTATATGTATATACATATATACACATACATATGTATTTTTTATTTTTTTGAGTCAGAGCCTCAATCTGTCTCCCAGGTTGGAGTGCAGTGGCACAATCACGGCTCACTGCAGCCTCAACCTCAACCTACTGGGCTGAGGCAATCCTTCTGTCTCTGTCTCCGGAGCAGCTGGACCTATAGGTGCACGCCACCACACCCAGCTAATTATTTTACTTTGTAGAGATGAGGTCTCGCTGTTGCCTAGGCTGGTCTTGAACTCCTTGGCAAGCAAACCTCCCACCTTGGCCTCACAAAGTGCTGAAATTGCAGGTGTGAGCCACCACACCTGCCTGTATCTCTATTTAAAAAAAAACCTGATTCACTCAGCAATTAAAACCTTTAAGTGTCCGGATGAAAACTACTAATTTAGCACAATACCTGAAAATATTTAATGTACTCTTTTTATACTTTTTACAGATGATAAAAATTTAAGTAAGCTTAGGGACAGAATCATTACATGCAATGTTTAAAATAAAACAAAAATCAAAAGAATTAAACAAACTACACTTCATATGATCTGAGCACTTTCCCCCCTTTGGACACTTAGCGCTTTTGCAAAATCCATTTATGACTGCATTTTTCCCCCTTTTAAACAACTGTTAAAGTTAATGGCTCATAGTA